CCCCGCCCCCTCCTAATATCCCCCCTCTTCCACAGCATTCCATTGGCAGCCGGCAAATTTGATAGAGAACTGTACTTGATAGGAATTAAAAGACGGATTTCGAAGGAAATTCAGAGGCAGCAGGGGCTGCAGAGTCAGAGCTCCAGCACCATTTGTTCAGTTTCTTGAAGTTTGCTGAACAAGGACTCAAAACTGCAACATGGGATGGTTGTATCTTAGCAAAACCCACTGGGAAGAACAAAGAATTGGCCACCTTTTGGGGACCCGAGAACCAATGCCGGGCCATGGGACTGGCGCCCGGGCCGCTGTGCCTGCATCCCCGGAAGGAAGCCACCCCTCACAGCCGAGCAAGCCCACCCTTGTCCATGGCAGGTCCGCCAGCATGGGTGGGCAGGGCTTACACCCGCCTGGCGGCACCACACCCCAGCCACTCTGGGTGACATCAGAATCCGGTCCTCAGCAGCTCCCATGCCCTGGGGAGTCACCGGGCCCCGTGCTCTGCACCGGCCTCTCCACACCCGCGGCAGGCGCCCATCTGTGTCCTCCTGCCAGCGCCTCAAACACACACCAAGGGCTGGGTCCTTGCTTGTCTGATCACCCCATGTCACACAGGTGCCCAGAGTGAGGCTGGGTTTGGAGTGGGTGACCCTCAGGCCTCAGGCCTCAGAGCGGGCCCCAGAGCCCAGCTGAGGAAGCCACAGTTTCCAGGATGTGTCGTGGTTCACACCCCACGAGGCTGCAGGTCGCCTGCCTTGGGGCGAGGAGTCCAGCACCCCAGCATAAGGGCCGCCCCCGCCCCCGGAGTAAGAAGCCACCTCCCCTCTCCTCTCATAGGCCAAGCCTGCAGGTGAGAAAGCCTCTCATGGCTTTGGTGACTTAGACCATTAGCTTCTGTAACTATAGCCACAGAATGATGTTAATGGAGCCTTGTGGAGCCTGGCCAGGAAACTGCTGGAAGCCTAGGATGCCACCACCTTGAACACCAAGGGCAGGGATCCCCCCACGTCCAGGCTCTTTCTTAGAGAGTTCAGACACATCCATCCCCACAGCCCCAGGCTCTGCCTGGACAGTTTCGATCCATTCATTGTTTTCTGTCCCATCCCATCTCTTGAAAAAAATGTAGTCTTTGAATGTGAAAATCTAGGCACATTCAATCTAGTCTTCTAAATTATTTATTTTTCCATATTTATATTTTTAAATAAATGCATATATTGACTCTAAACTTTCTGATCAAAGACCAAAACGTGGAAGAAACAGTACACACGCACCCCCCATTCTCACAACATCCCTGTTTTAAAGGCAGTAAAATCCACAGGCAAAAATGTGGTCTCTGCCCTCAACGGCTCACCTCCCTCTTGTCCGGTTCATCTCTGCTGTCTTTAAAATCATGCATTTGGCCAAGCACAGCAGCTCGTGCCTGTAATCCCAGCACTTTGGGAGGCTGAGGCAGGTGGATCGCCTGAGGTCAGGAGTTAGAGACCCCCCCATCTCTACTAAAAATACAGAAATTAACCAGGCATGATGGTGTGCACCTGTAATCCCAGGCTGAGCCAGGAGAATTGCTGGAACCCAGGAGTCGGAGGTTGCAGTGAGCCCACATTGCGCTACTGCACTCCAGCCTGGGCAACAGATGAAGATTCCCATCTCAAAAAAATAGATGAAGTTCACTGCCCCGGAGATCAGTATTAGTTAGAAAAGAGCCTTTTGAGGAAGACACAGACACAATACTTCAGACCTGATGATCCACACTGGTTATCAGTTCAGTGAGTAACACATAAAAGTTTTATTAGCAGTAGCTTACAAAGTACGGAAACAAGAAACACCCAATCTCTTGATAAAAATGAGTCTCTCGGGTTGGGCGCAGTGGCTCACACCTGTGATCCCAGCACTTTGGGAGGCCGAGAGGGGCGCATCACAAGGTCAGGAGTTGAAGAAAGCTTGGCCAATATGGTGAAACCCTGTCTCTACTAAAAGTACAAAAATTAGCCAAGTGGCCTGTAGTCCAGCTACGCGGAGAGCTGAGGCAGGAGAACTGCTTGAACCCAGAAGGCAGAGGTTGCAGTGAGCTGAGATTCCACCACTGCACTCCAGCCTGGGCGACAGAGTGAGACTGCGTCTCAAAAAATAAAAGTCTCTTGATTGATAGAAATTCCATTAATGAAAGGGCACAGCCAATCATCTAATTTCAATAAACTAGTCCGATGGCCTGTATGTATAAGATTTTGCGTTGGGTGTGGTGGCTCACACCTGTAATCCTAGCACTTTGGGAGGCTGAGGAGGGCAGATTGCCTGAGCTCAGGAGTTCAAGACCAGCCTGGGCAACATGGTGAAACTCGTCTCTACTAAAATGCAATAATTTAGCTGGGCAGGGCGGCGTGTGACTGTAATCCCAGCTACTCGGGAGGCTGAGGCAGGAGAATTGCTTGAACCCAGAGGCAGAGGTTGCAGTGAGCCGAGATCATGCCACTGCACTCCAGCCTGGGCGACAGAGCAAGACTGTTTCCAAAAAAAAAAAAAAAAAAAAGATTTTGCTCAAACAAATGTGCCCTAAGTTTCAAATCAACTCATTGAAAATCTGAACAAAGATGTTGATGGTAATGGGGCTTGAAATGAGTCAGCTCTTACGGCTTCTTCCTCGGCCTTTTCTCCAACCCAAACAATTGTTAAAGAGATTCTGATCTAGGCCGGGCACGGTGGCTCACGCCTGTAATCCCAGCACTTTGGGAGGCCGAGGCGGGGGTGGATCACGAGGGCAAGAGATCGAGACCATCCTGGTCAGCATGGTAAAACCACGTCTCTACTAAAACTACAAAAAAATTAGCTGGGCATGGTGGTTGCGTGCCTGTAGTCCCAGCTACTCAGGAGGCTGAGGCAGGAGAATTGCCTGAACCTGGGAGGCGGAGGTTGCGGTGAGCCGAGATCGCGCCATTGCACTCCAGCCTGGG